CTTTGCTAGGACGCAAAATATGTGGATTTCAAACAATAAATCGAAGAGATTTATTGTTTGAAATAAACCAATTTTTCGTAGGAAACCGAAGTTTGAAAGGGGGTATAAAGAGAGGAAAAAAAGAGGGAATAGTAAAATGAATAAATAAAATTTTAGGTGTAACTGAATTTGTCAACTAAACGATTAATATGATAGCTGTGAATAAGTTTTAAGAAGCAAAAGTACTTGAATCAAAACTGAATTAACCGCTAAATAAAATCAGCACGTGCTTCAGGACTTAAGGAAAAGTAACACCACAAAAATTTCTCATTGCCGATTTTATTACCATGGAATGTATGTAGCAGCTAACCGAAGATCAAAAGAGAAGAAGTGAGAAAAAGACGAGTAAATGTATATATATGAATGTAATCTTTTAAGTCATCTCAAGTCATCCAGCCCTGATTTGAAAAAAATAATACAGGAGTTTTCAAACTTTTTTGTCCCATGCACCCGTTCATCATTAATAGACTATCATTTCCCTCTTCCTTTCCAAAACTCGAAAACGATATATAAAGTTATGTAAATTTAGGTTATATTGTAATGTTTTATAACTTGAACAAGAAAAAGTATAGAAAATGTTGATAAGTATACAAAAACTTGAATATACGTAGCGTATTCGGAAACTAAGTACCGTTTCATTCTAGCGCCGTCGCAGCGCTGGTAGGCGTCCCGCGCATGCGCACTAGTCTTTCTTGTTCACTGAATTTCAATTGTCGCCATTTTGGTTGCTCTATGTTGTGTTTTCAGTTTGTTGTGCACATTCAAAATGTTTAAGACAATTAGTTCTCCCGCTGACTGTGAGATTCGTGCCGTGATTAAATTTTTGAACGCGAGGAATGTTAAACCGGCCGAAATTTATCGTCAAGTGACAGAAGTTTACGGTGAATACGCGATAAGTGATGGAATGGTGAGAAAGTGGGTAAGAATGTTTAATGCAGGTCGAACAAATGTCCACGCCGAGGCTCGGAGTGGTCGGCCTTCTGTTGTCACTGATGATTTGGTAAGGAAAGTTGATGAAGCAATTCATGAGAACAGACGCTTCACAATGACAACTCTTTCAGAGGCATTTCCACAAATTTCACGTACTGTTTTGTTCGAAATTGTGTCTGACCGCTTGAATTATCGCAAACTGTGTTCCCGATGGGTTCCAAAAATGCTCACTGATGTTCACAAAACAAAGCGACTTGGTTGTGCCCTGACATTTCTCACGCGATACAGTGATGAGGGAGAAAACTTTTTAAACCAAATTGTGACAGGTGATGAAATGTCATTTCACACTAGAATCGAAACAACAATCGATGGAGTGGAGACACACTCATTCTCCAAAAAAACAAAAGTTCAAAGTGACAATGTCATCACAAAAAATCATGTGCACTGTCTTCTGGGATAGGAAAGGCGTTTTGCTTACTGAATGAGGTGAAACCATTAATGCGGCACGATATTGTGAGGCTTTAACAAAACTAAGGCGTGCCATTGAAAATAAACGAAGAGGAATGCTCAGCAAAAGGAATTGTGTTGCTCCATGACAATGCTCGACCCCATACTTCTGGTGTCACTCAATCGTTAATTTGACCGTGTCATTGGGAGCAGTTCGATCACCCGCCGTAGAGCCGGACTTGGCGCCGTCCGACTATAACTTGTTCCTGCACATGAAGCGCGAGCTTGGTGGCAAGCGCTTTGGATCTGACGATGACACGAAAAATGCTGTGGAGTCGTGGTTATCGAAACTGGCGGGAAGTTTCTTTGACGATGGTATACAAAAACTGGACACCCGCTATGACAAGTGTTTTATCATTGGCGGAAAACTATGTTGAAAAATAGTTTAAGACATGTATTTTCATGTAAAAATAAAATTGGATTCGAAAAAATTGTTTTACTATTTTTGTTTTTCAAAACGGTACTTAGTTTCCGAATACGCCTCGCAAGTGGTTTTTTATATTCATTAACTAAGACTAAATACGTAACAGGTAAATAAAATACTATAAAACTATGAAATTCCCCAGTAGTCGAGCACCCCTAACATAATACATGAACACAAATGCAAATAAATAAAATAAAAAGAACTTAAATCTACTACTGGCGGAATTAAGCATTTCTTATAAGAAACTCCAATTAAGCGTGTAGAATCATTAGGACTTTTTTGAAGCAGGAGATGTGAAAAATGCGCAGTGCCTTCGCCGGGTCTCGAACCCTTGACTTCGAAAATGTTTCCAATTCCACTACGAAAGCATGTAGAAAGGTGGGAGCAAATATCTTATAAGCGAAACAATAAAAAAAAATCAAAATGAATCGGAAAGCCCGAAACCTAGACATTTTCAATTCTTTAAAGCAATTTATCTTTGTTTTTCGACTATTAAAAATTAATTCATATTTTATAATGTGTATTTGCATTATCGTAATATTTGTATACAAAAGAAGTGGAGGCTATAATGTCTCTGTTCTGGCTATGTTCGTTAAGCTGCTAGGTTCATTGATAAATTATATCAGTTAGAATTTGAGTTTACCAAAACATCCTTAAGCAAAGTCCTTATTTCTTATAAAAGTGTCCAAGATTTATTTCATCCTCTGCTAAATTAATTACTTAATAATGCAAACGAAGATCAGACTTGCATAAGTATGCCCCGGTAAAAGATGCTTACATCCTTATATTGGCCGACCGTTGTTCGTTAAGATAGAAAACGTTAAACTATAACCTGACATAAAAATACGCGCAGTTTTAAAATTTAGTCAGTTTCTAACCTGAAAAAAAATAATTTCCATCAAGATGCGGGCTTTTTTATGTAGGTCGATTTTTATTTCTGTAACTGGTTCATTAATTAAACAACTAAAGGTGCTTCCTGCGCAGAGGTGCGACAAAAACCTTTATGCAAAGTCCTTTTTCTCTCATAAAGTTGCCGAAGATTCATCCTATGTGTAACTGATTGATCAGTAATGCAGACCAAAAAGCAGATTTGCATAGGGATGTCCCGTCATAAAGCTGCCCGTCCCATGTAAAGGCTGCTTTTCTCAATTTAAAAACTGGTTTTCAGAAGGGGAAGAGAAACTTTATACATAAAGGCATCCCGGCATGCCAGGACACCCTTATGAGGTTTCTCTTTTTCAACAACTTCCGACGTGCATAGGTGTGCGGATGCTTTTATGAGGCACTGTTATGAAGGCGTACCAATTTTACCAATTTCCATAAACATGAAGGCAAATCGTGAAGTAAAGAGCAACTGATTATATAGTTTTATTTTGCAAATAAATAAATGCTTTTGAATTACTTATCAGAGAATAACCAACTATTTACTAAATTCCTTAATAACGTTAGGCTATTTGAGTGACTATCTTAATACGATAATGCGATTACTCTATGATGAGAACATTCATCTGCACAAGTGTTTAAAATATTGCCTATGTTACTGCTACATGAAACGAAATGACTATTAATTCCAGTATGCATTTAAAATTGCATGAACTCTCATATTACTGAGATGCATCTGAAATATTATTTTGATGCCTCAGTTCATTTTTCCTGGATATGATGCTTTTCGGTTGAACTGTATGCATTCCACTCTTAAATTATATAATCGTAAATCCTTAAGTTTCCGATTACAAAACATGAAGTTTAGAATTAATATTAATTTCTAATTTTAAATTACATATTTCAGATTCCAGACATTGTTCCAACATCCTAACAATTTTTCCATCCAGTGAGCTCTATTAATTTATTATTTAATAGAATAGTAAATTACAACACCTCATTTGGAAGTAGCTCATATTATTAGAGTGTTGATTTCAGGCTCTTAGGTAATCTATTTTCAAAACTATATCCGTTAATAACCTTAACCGGACAAATGTCTTTAATCTTGGGGTAAAGAAGTTTATGATGCACATTATTTAGGACATACAGCATTTTACATAATTACTTCGAAATATAAGTATATTTTCTTTTAAACACATTTCTTCTGAATTTACACCGAAAAGCAAGCAATTCTTCATACTCATCAAAACCGTATGATCATCCCAGTATTATACGATTTGCTTAGCTTCCTAACATGGAAAATTCAACGAGATTTCCCGTCATTAAATAATTAGGACAGCGGATGAAAGATCTGATTGCCTATATCATACCTACTTATGCATTTATATTATTAAGTTACTTAAATAAAGACAAAGCGTCTGAAAAATATTTGCTTTAGGAAGGAATTTAAAATTATTTTCTACATAAATATTGATGTTGATTATAATAACACCTCATCCACCTTCTGCTTCAAATCAGAAACGGTCATGAACATGATTTCATTTCGAATTATAGGGCAAAGCGTTCAGTTTTCACTGCTATGCGTAACAGTGTTATCTCAAGAAGCGCCCATGAATACAAGGTTGCCTTAATAATTTCCTTTTGTCCAACACTAAATAACCAAAGTCCAACAGTAGGTAACGATACTCTGAGAATCATAAGTATTAAATTGCTGATTTCAATATCTTTTCGACATCTTCTATATTTCCTCATATATACTATTTAAAAAAAATGAATATTTAAACTTTTTTTTCTTTATTAAAATAAGTGATTTTTCAGTACATTTACTATATAACCACTTACAGTACATCTCATAAACTTATTAAATATTCCACTCACAAAATAAAGCTTTTGATATAATTAAGTTATTAGCCTGATTTGTGCTAATGAAATGTGTAAATTCATTTCATGCCAGTGTTAAGCAATAGTTTTACTTACTACTCTTTTTTTAATAAAAATATAGTTTTAATATTTGGTCTCTAAATGTGAAAACTGCTCTTTTTCCATGTATTATTTTCTGTAATTGTTTTGAATATTAAAAAAAGTATGTTTAGTAAAGTACTTGAGTAAATTTCCCTGTTTTAACCAGTAATTTCTCCATAATTATTATATTTGAGGCAGGATTTTTTTTATTTTTATTTTTGTGACTGCAAATTTATATTTTGTTTTTTTCTTTCAGGTAAAAATCTGGTTCCAAAATCGCAGAACAAAGTGGAAGAAACAAGATGGTGTATCAAACGCCGAAGCTGCCGAATTGAAATCGAGTGGTGATAAGCAAGGTTCACAAGGAACAACCAAAAAAGCTTCTAAAAACAAATCAACTGGAGCTGCCATCAGTGGCAATCCAACTACACCTGCTGTTGGATGTTTACAGCAACCTCAGCGTCAAGTCATTAATGGACCAGGACCAATTTTTACTTCTAACAGTGACGCGAAACCATCTTCCACCGAGCATAATAATAATACGACAAATTCTGAATCATCCATTCTTCCACCTTCTCCATCATTGAATTCAAAAGTCATTTCCACTTCGGCTGAAGTCATGTGCAGTAACACATCTTCAGATGTTTCTTCGACCACCCCTCCAACGACTGTCGGCATGGTTCCGATCACTACAATGACTCCACCGCTTTCTGTCGTTGAAAATGGTCTTGACTCGGACAGCCGAGCTTCTGATGTTTTCTGCTGGGGACGATCGTCTTCTCCCTCTTCCATGGAAAACGGAGTTGCTGGAGATAGTTCAATCGACAATACGGAAACCACTCACATACAACACACCCAATATTCAGGACCTTGTTATGCCAACAGTGTGGTTAGCGTTGATGCTGCTATCAATACATCGTCTTCTTACCAAGAATCTGATATGAGGCCTGGTGTAAAAACGATAGGTGTTGAAACGTCGTTACACATGCAGGGGTGCCCCATGAACAGCCAGGAGGTATCAGATGCTGAAATATCCACAAGCAATCACTGACGGTTTGTTTTTTGTTTCTAGATACTATACTTGAAACACGTAAAACTGAGCTCTTGTGAGACTGAACCATTTCAATATTACATTCAGTGAAAGGACATGCTTGAATTATACCTAAACATGCGAATGATTAAACGGGTGTCACTTTTATGTGCGTTCATTTCGAAAACATAGTAAGCGAATGGATTCTCTCTCAGCTCAGTGTCTTCCTCTTTACAAACAGGGTAATTTTATTTAATTGTCAATTTTTATCATAAAGCTTCAATGATAATTCTGAAGTTCCGTTTTATGGTCCAGATGCCAAATTAGAGAAAAATATGCGTGTATAGACTTCTCAGCAAACTTTTCACGCTTCACAGAATGAAAAGAGCAAAAGAAGACAGCTGATGTTTCTTCAGTCACTATCTGTTGTTGAGTGAAATGTGATGAAAGTCATTAGTACAATAGAACCACAAACAGTTCTTACACTTTTCCGGTATCTCTTATTCTAGTGACTGTGCCAAAGTTTCTCTGTTTTATTGTGATTTATCTTATTTAAAGGCTATTTAGTGATTTAGAAAATGACTGGAGACTTGTTATATAATAAACTTAACTATCCTTAGTATTTCTTTGCCAGATATGCTCTTAAATATCGTCAGTAACTACAGAGCCTTCGAATTTTAACTTAATTTGATCTTCACATCAAAGAGTTAAATAAGCAGGTTTTTTTAGTTTTTCTTAAAGTCAGCTAAACATACTGTTGCATAAAGTTGACAGAAACATTCTGGGATAAATTTATCTTTGCAAGAAAGATTTATGTACGAAATGTTCGATTCAAATATTTGTGCTCAGAAATTATATTTTTAAATTTCCCAATACTGTTGAACATATCATTGAACGAAAACACAAATACTGTTAACTGAAATCTGCTTAATACGAAGTCTGTGGGTAAGTTGTGCAATCATTGAAAATAAAAAAGAACATTTTGTTAGAAATAACGCAGCATAAAATTTCCAGTCATTAAAGCAGCGAAAAAAATTTAAAAAGTGTGGAAAGATGACTATATATATGTATATTTGATATGTTGACAGCAAAATGCTATTGTATTATGTTATCTGAAACCAGTGAATAACTTCTGTTGAAATTGAACTAGGACAGGCCTTTTTTCTAAGAAGTGAATAGGGAACTTTCCGCACTCCAACATTTATGACGTCATTGTTGGTTGTCCTCTTTATCCCTTTCAAATGTCTTAATTTAACGTCACCAATGAGCTTCATAGTTAGCTGAAACATTGTATACTTCATTCTGTGCTCCATGACGTCTCATGCTGTCATTACTTTTAAATGATCTTGGTGATCATTATTGTAATAGTCTTTCTGTAAAGGCATTAAAGTCTTTTTTTGATCATCTGTTATAAATAAAGTTCATGAAAATAAATTTCATTTTGTGCAATATGAAATACGGAGTTCTGTTTTATTTATTTATTTATTGTTTTTGAACTGAAATGCAAAGGGGAGGAAAGTATGTATACATAAGTATGAAATGTATGATGATCATTTGCCTCGTTTCTGTTCTAGAACGATAACTCATTATATGCAAAATGATCATAAACCTAACCTCAAAACAGTCTGAAGGGAATGTCGTCATATTTTATTATATAATCATAATAGGTGTAAACATTGATTGGTGTACTGCGGATTGAGTGGACCGTAACATTGTTTTAGTATCCTTCATAGCAGGGTTTTATTGCTGACGATATATCTTTGCTAATTAGCATACAGTATGACGTCATCTTATAAAGAAGGTTTCTAAGCAACATATTATTTTTTTTGCATTTTAATTTTGAAAAAAAAAAACTTTGTTTAAGAATAAGAAATAGAAAAGTTTTATCTGCTTTAGAGGAGGATACTGTGGCTTACAGTGTGAGGAATTAAGACATCCCTCCATACGTCTCCGTGTGTTCTTGTGATGTAGTTGCAACGGTGGCCGCCTGTTAAGTACCTCTAATAAAATAGCCACCATTTTTGGCCTTAGGAGTGGCCAGTACTAAATAGGCAAGTGCCCGTCTTTGGATTAAATAAATAAATGAAATTTTTTTAAAAAAACTTAATTATCGATTTAGTGCTACCATCATTTTTTCCCATAGGAGATTCTTCAGTTACTCGATAAATAGAGTCATGGATTTGATTATGTTTTACTGAAATATTGTCTAAGCCCACCCAGGGACTTCAAACAGCAGAGGCTTTCTAACGATATACTTCTTTTCCTCATGTGTAACAAGTTCTAGTTTCTGATATTATAGGTCTATGATAATGATGTGATTTAGTATAATATATATATGAACTTAGTTTACTTAAGTAAAGTCAATTCTTTTACTAGGAACTGAATCAAGATCGGTATCCAAAATAAAACTATCAGTTTTAACAAAAATATTTCAAGCTATTCTTTTCTTTTCTGTGTGAACGGGCTATGTATTCCCCATCTCAATCATTTCCCGCTAAGATTAAATTTTTTCCCCTCGTGGTACAGTATCTGTTCAGTGTACCTTTACTCAAAGCTCGGGACACTTTGGCCTACAGCTGGACCAGAAAATTTATTGCATCGAATATGAAAGAAAGCGGCAAACATTTTTGCTCTTATATAATGTTCGTTATGCTCTTATATATTGTTCGTTCGTTATGTTCTTTGATAAAAAGCCGTGAATGACAATGCAATAATTTCTACAATTTATATGTGAAGATTATATTGGGATTTCTATGATTAAGCATAGGAGAAATCGTTGAAATTCCTATTCAATCAGCATTACATTCCAATTTCTGCCCGCGACCTGCTAACATCCACTTCTTTGAACTAACATATTAAATTCAGAAATATATTCTCTAGCTCATTTTTAATTTGGGAAACGTTTATAACTTAATTTGACCAGTTTTACAATATGCCACAATGCATTTGTCATTCAGTTTGCGTGATAAGCAGTGCCTCTTTGCAATATAAGATGGTGAATTTATGTTCACGCATTGTGGCAAACAGAATCTTCTGAAATTATTCCGTTCTAACTTCTCTTTCAAATCATATTTTTAGTTGCTTAAGAAAATTAGCTATGTGAAAACACTAAATTAACTTCTTAATACTTTATATCCTAATTTTATTTTAATAACTTATTCATTTGATAGAATTTATAACATACTTAAGTGGTACCATTTGAAATGTATCCAGCCGATAATTTCCATGCATTTATTTGTTATTTTAATAAATAAAATATTTTATTAGCGTCATATACTTCATACCTCAGTGAAGTAATAAAAAATTCACGGGGGAAGGAATGCATTTAGTGGGATTTTTTAAAATTTTTTAGTAAGCATTAGATTAGATATTTAAAATATCTAATATTTATCAAGTGAAAATTGCTTTTCTGTCTTTCATTTATTATAAAAATTTTAATGTATTTTTAAAAATATCAGTTAATTCTTCAATGTTTTGTTCCTCAATATCAAAAGGCAATTACAAATTTAAATGTCCTGATCAGTTGATTAGCTATGAAATGTATTACAGATAGATTCTGATCTGAAATCTTAAGACAAAGGTTCTTTTTATGTATATATGTCAGGGAAAAAAGAGTAATTGATCACGTATGCTGCTGAATTGTTTTTTAATACATGATAAAGAGACTTTAGAAATTGAATGATGGCGCTTTTTATTGTTTCCTCATAAATTATTTTATTAATTAATCACTCTCCGTTTCGTCCCACATTCTTGTGTTAAAACTTTTGTTTGGTCCTAGTCTTCAATACTAGGGAATATTACGTCGCAAACCATCACTTTTTCAGATGTTTCTTTGATAAATTAATTCTTACTATCCACTTTCTTGTTCACATGAACTTTGTTCACATGAGCTTTTTTAATCCTTCAGACTTTAAATAAGAATAAAATTTTGGTCAATAAGTAAAACTCATTTTTTATGTTTCCTTCGTAAATTAGCATTGCCTTACTCTTTTATAGTTTTACATTTATATATATTTGATTTGACACGTTTAACGTAGAGCCAGGAATTCACCCTATTGTTTCGTATATTATTCTATAACACATTTATTACAACATTCGCCTAAATGTAAGAAGATATTTTATTCCTTAATATACCCTTCTGATTGCCAATCCCGTTCTATACACGTAGTCTAAAATATAAAAAGAATATGAAAATAATTCATTGCTTAATTGTGATTTATATGATAAAAATGTGTTTAACAGTTTTACTTCGAAATAGGATATCTAGATTTTCTGGGTTGGAGGAACCTTAACATATCAAACCATACTATATTATTTTTGCTTTTTATATAGTTCCTTATTTTAAGTACACGTTACTAAGTCATTGAGTAGAGTTGTTCGGAGTCGGCCAGTTTTAGCCCACTTATTGTACTAATAAAATTCCGTAACTCAAAATTCACAACTCAGGATTTATTACAACTTCCAACACCAAACTGAATACTATAGTAAACTAATATAAAGTTAAATTTACTAAACGCAGGTAGTTCAACTTATAAATGATCATTTTTTAAACGGCAGCTAAATCAAAGGAAAGTCTTTTAAGAATTTCTCTTACTTATTTCCTAACCAGTAATAAATTTAATTTAAATAAGCACTTTAATTTGAATAAGTGCAATAACTCTGTAGCCATCTAAGCAACACTTTCTAGCTATAGAATCACCTACCTTTTAGTATCATCAAAATAATCACAACATACACAGAATACATACACAGAAATACACAGAAAATACACAGAAAGCTCATCTCACTAACGTACCGAAGAAAGAAATTCAGAATGCGCTTTGAGAAAAAAAATTGTAAATCAAAAGTATAACCCAGAGTTTGTTTTATGCAGTAATTGCAGGTAAACATGAATAATTTTTATCTACCATACGAGTTTAAGGCAAGTTGTTTTGACTGTCTGAAAAGAATTGTACGGCAAAAAAGAAATGTAGAGTCTTACCGGATAAATGCACTATCTTACTTCAAGCGTATTACGTCAGCCAAAGCTCAACAAATTTTGATTTCCGACATCGCGTGCACAATGATTTGATGTGGATACAAATGATGATAGTATGATTTACAGAGGATATCCATCATTTCCATTCTACACTGTTAAGTCTTAATTCCTACTTCCTGATTTCCAACGACTCTTAAGTATCATCATCACTGCTACCGCTTTTTTAGCCACCGATCTTTACTATTTTTTTCCGTTTTGGAAAAGTTAAACAACATCGTACATGTGTAATTTCTATTTATATGATGTGCATCATTATTTATATTGCAGAGAGTTTTGGCTTTTTAGCTATGTTTTGCTAAGTTCTTCCACCTCTTCTTAAGTCTGTTTCCGAGATTTCATTGTTTTCAATTTGCAGGTTTCGCATCCTAGCAGAATAGAAACTATTTCCATTTGAAAAAAAAATAGTCTCATCATTTTCTGTGAATAAGCGATCCTGTGAAATAATGCACTGTTACATCTTGAATACATAAGGTTTTTTCTTGAATAATTAAATCTCCACACGGTGTTAATTTACGAATCATAGTGGTTTTTTCGTACCATTCGGCTGTGATATTTTGAACAATTCATTTTCATTGCAAGATTTTATGATCTGTATCTTTAATCTCTGAAGCCTTTTTATCTTTAATTTCATTTCTTTTTATCTTCTGAATAAATCAGGAGGTTGATCGCGACTCCTTGGCTTAAAACTATTTAGAATATTAAATTAAAATCTAAACACCAAAATCAGATTGTAATTTCTTTTTAAATTTTTAGATTTTAAACGCATTTTAACTAACTAATTACATTTTACTTACTAGAATATGCTCGCACTCAAAATATTTGGTTCACTGTTTAAGATTATTAGCAAGTTTTTTTAGAATGTATTTCTGTATTTCATTTTTATACTTATGTAAACTCGAAATTTTATTGATAAGCCGATCGAATGATAGGCTTTTTGTGTAATTCGAAACTAAGCTGTTCAAGTCATTAGAGTGTGAACTGAATGTTTTAGATTCCATTTTTTTAAGTCCTTAGAACACTCATTTCTCGAGTAAAGAAAAATCTCTGTTTTCATAAAGCGGGCGAAACCTGTATATGAATTTTTAGATTTTTATTCTTTGCTTAAAATCGTAAGGTTATTATTTGAAACCCACCAGTTCTTATGATTTAGCTCTTTACTATAACATCTCAATTCCGGTTCCTAACCATAATGTAGATTGAGATAGAGAGTATTTAAGCCGAGGTTTTTGGATTGTGAGACAGAGCGTGTTTCTGCCCCTTGTGGCTACGTTACGTAGTTCCTGCCAGCTCTGATAAGTTTGAAATCATTCGGCTTTGTGTTTTGCTGCCGACATTTAAATGTGATAAGCTAGTTAGAAGTTTTAGCCAGCTTAGTTTAAAATTTAATTTTGTATAG